TATTAAATATATTAAATAAATAATATATTAAATATATTAAATAAATAATATTATTAAATATATTATATAAATAATATTATTAAATATATTAAATAATAATATATTAAATAAATATATTAATTAAACATATATAATACAAAAACGGTTTCAGAGGGAAGAAAATGAAAAAGAAAAAAAAAAGTGAAATCCGTTTTTCAGAAAACAGAAAACGAAAACAAGAAAATGAAAACACATTTTTTTCGTTTTCTGATTTCCACAAAAAGACAAAAACGTTTTTGGTTTTGTTTTTTAAAAAAAATTGCACCAAACACGTTTTTAACACCCGTTTTCATTTTTTTGCTTTGAAAACCGTGAAAAACGAAAACGAAAACGCAAACAAACGGGCCCATCCGTTTGGGTTTTTTTTTTTTTTTCAATCCATTGTACGTGATCGGAGATGTTTAAGGTCTTTCGCTGATTCGAGTTTAGAATTCGAGTTTTGTTACAGTAAAAAGCTCTCATAAAAAATTAAATCTAACTTTTTTGCTACAGTAAAAAGCTCTCACATAAAATCACATCTCAACTCGAATTAAAAACTCGAATCAGCGAACTAAACGGGCCCTAAATACTCGTCGTCATATTTTTTTACCGATCGAAAAATTTATGTAAAAAATGTAATATTATACTTTTAACGTTTTTAATTAATTCATTGTGTATTTAACAACTACATACAAAGAAAAAAGAAAAAAGAAAAAATACTCTTTAAACTTCATTAAAAAGATAGCACATTAATAAAAAAAAGTATTTCCTTTGAAAAATGAAGAAAAATCATCGTAGGTCAAATATGGGTTACAAATTAGTCTTAAAAAAATTATGTAAAAACCCAATTTTAAAAGTTCATGTTTTGATTCATTAATTTCCTTAAGAACAAATCAAATGTGCAGTATAATTTATCATTGACTTTATTTTTAGGAATGTGTATGGTAAGGGCGCTTACTTTTCTTCCTACCCAGTAGGATGTGAAATCTAAACCATTGAGAGAAAAGACAACGGTTCAAGATGATGATGTACATAAAATCTAAAATAAATACAATTATGGGCCAATTTAGTATTGATGTGCTGTTAAAAATACAACTGTGTTGTAAGTAATAAGTTGCCTTTTTTAGTAAATATTTTTACAAAATTAATGTGAGTACTATAAGTAAAAATTTAGATGTATAGTAAACTATGTATAAAATTACTATTGAAATATAGAATAATAAAAATAGACATATTTTATCACATGTATTTATAGTTAGTTTTATTTCTATTTTTACAGTCGTTCATAATATAAAAAAATAAATTTAAATTTTAAGCTCTTAAAATAAATTACTTTTATTCAAGGTCCACTAGTATTTATCGTTGTCATTTTTAAATATGTTGATAATTATTAAAAATATTTGAATGAAATTTAGAATAGCATACTTATTAAGGATATTTAATTTTTAAATAACTATTTTAAAAATATATGTTTTTTAATTTGGTATAGAAAAAGTAAAATAGGTATATTGAGAATTAAGGCCTTATTTTTTCACAATTCAAGTCATAACTAAAGTTCTATTACTATAGTGTTTTCTCTCACCAAAATTTAAATTTAACTTTTTTACTACAGTGTTTTTTTCCTCACATACACAACTTTTTTTCTCACATACACAACTCAAATTCTTAATTTATTGTGAAATAAACACACCCTAAGTTTTATTATTAAGATTATCTTAGTAAATTTGAATAATGACAGCATAAGCTGCTGTGCAAAAGCAACCCCTGACCTACTTCTTAAATTCTACTTTTTAGCAGCAATTTTTAGAAGCTACTAGACAAAAGCAGGATTTACCAAACACCATAACATGTTGTAGCTTCATTAAAAAAGCTAAAAATGGCCTATAAAAACAATGTCAAATGGGCCCGTAGCATTTTATTACCCTTTTCTTTTCAAATGTTACAATTATAGTGTCGCCCCTTATATTTTGTGAAATATCAGTTTCTGTCTAAATAAATCTCAACCATCAATTCAATCTAATTAACCTGTAATCTTCTTCTAATGCAAATACTCTAATCTTAGCCCTTGATTACTAAAATTGCACAAACCCTAGCATTTTAAATGTTTCAGAAGCCTAGAAGCCTCCATTAGCAGCTTTCTATTGAGAATGATGTCCTAAAAATATGAGATATAATAGGATATTTATTATTTATTTAATAAAAGTTTATTCATTATTTTTTGTGCATATATTATTGAATATTATATGAATATCACTGAAAATTTCATGATTATTTATGTAACCTTAAATATTGCATTAAGTGTTATATGCGAGAGGATAATATTATTTAAGTGTCA